AATTATGGAATTTTTGTCTTATGTTGAAGTATTATAGATGATTAGGAACATTACAAGTTTGTAGGAAATTACGGAATTTTTTTTTTTTATGTTGAAGTATTATAGATTACAGGAATGTACAGAAAGTGAATGTGCTTTTGGTGAGAGAATTTTAGCTGTTTTTAGAATGATGTAATTAATTTTGTTAATTATTAGGGTGATAAGGTGAGAAAACATATGGAAATATTTTGTTGTATCTCAAAAGAAAGAAATTGAAAAACTGAACAACTTCATCATCCAACTTCCAATTGTGTTTAGGACTTTAAAATAATAAAAATTAGAATAAATTTATTCATGAAAATGAAAGTTAAGAATTTAGCTTTCTAACAAAACTAATCTTATTTAAATTGAAGTTATTAAACACCAAATATGAGTCAAAAACTAAGGAAATGTCATATTGTATCTTGCTATATAATTTTTAGATGTTACAATAAGAGTAGTTTTGGATTTTTTTTTAATTACAACAAGTTTTTCTTCTTTTTAATAAAATTGTAGTCTTATATGTTATCATAATTTATACACAAAACTAAATTTTTAACTTTAAATATGTTTCAAATATTGATTAGTGCCTTTAAGTGATAAAGTTAAGTTAAGTTAGTTACAAGAAGCTAACTTTATTTTTTTAAAAAAAAATTGCTTTTAATTTAAGATTTAATAATGGAAATGATAAAAAAAAAATTTAAGATTTAATAATGGAAATGATAAATTTTTTTTGTAAATATGTATCAAATAGTTAATGATAATCATCTTAAAGATATAAAATTGTAATATGTCATTTTAGGTTAAAATTTAAAATAAATTAAGGATAAAATATCAAATGATAATGTTTTTATTGAAACAAGAGAGATTTTAAGACCCATCCAACATCAAGAGACCAGTTCACATGCTTAGACATCCTATAAGTGCTCGGCATCCTAAAATTAAAGTATTAACTAACTGTGATGTAAGGTTTCTTAAACATGTCTTAATATTATTTAATAAATGTAAAAGTATTAGAAAGATTAGTTAATTTGATAATGACACAAGTGTTTTGGTTAACGATTAATAAAAGAAACTAGTTATCCTAGTAAATAAAATTGACGCCTTACTTAATGAGCAATTATAGAAATTAATTTCTAAATTAATGAGATTAGTACTTTGGTTAATGGATATGCATTGATCATATAAGGCATTATATAAATTGTCAAGTACCTCTTAGTGTCATCCTGAGTTGTTGATCTCATTCTTGTAGTTTTCTTTTTGTGAAATCAAATGTATATTTTGTTATGTATTATAATTTTGTATAAAAAAAGAAAGTATTTACCTTTAAATTAGTTTCTTTTGAAAATACATGGCTATAGTTATGGATTTATTTTAGATTTATTTGGCTTTAAACATAAATATGTGTCATGAATTATGTTTTAATTAAATTATTTTTCCCCTTATTTCTAGTATTTGTTAAAGGATATAATAATTAATTAATCTGAGTAATACTGAAAAAGAAGAAGCAGAAGTTTATTTTTATGTTTGGTATAATATAAATAAAAAAGACTTGGATAATGAGAAAATATTGAATTTTTTTATTGTAAAATTAATGTAGTCAATAACTTAACTTGATATTGAAAAATTAGATAGAAATCTACCAAAATTTAATAAAAATAAATATTTATAAAACATTTTCTAATACATTCAACAATAATATAATATAATAGATGTTCATAGAGCATCGTGTAAATAAAATTTAGGTTATTTCTCGCAGATTACGAAGTTAATAATATAAAAAATTAGTCGCACAATGGTGGGGCTTCATGGGTAATTAATAGTACTTTATATTTTCGAATTCAAAGAGTATTTATCCATAATTATACAAGTATGAACTACTTAAAACAATTTTGATTGACTATTACACCTCAAATAAATTACTACTATTATAATATACTATCAATATATAATTAAATACATACTAAAAATATTGGTAAGATTATTAAAATTAAAATCATTAATTCCTACAAAATTTTATGTTTTATATGAATAATTAAGTCTATTTTTTTATTTCTATTTATACATAACATAAAATCCTAAATAACGTAAAATAACAGTTGTAAATCACTCCTAAACTATATAGTATTGTATTAATATTTTATTTAACAAAAACACTTTAAAATAAGTGATAAATAACATAAGTTACTGAAATATGAATACTTCAAAATTCATTAAATTATTAGTTATTTTTTAATATTCTTTTTTTCTTTAATATATTTCATTTTTTTATTTTTAACAAATACTGATAATATTAAAAAAGGCTATATTTATTAAAATATGATTAATTAATATTTTTTATATTATCTTATTTTTTTATTCATTTGAACAAACATTGATTTGAAAATAAAAGCAAGATTCATTAAAAATGACTTATATAATTTTTTAATGTCCGGATTATTAATTTATATTCAAGTCACAATGAGTTTAATTATACTTACCAAATTCATATAAAAATATTTTAATTAAAACATATTTATTTAATAAACATTCAAATTCATTAATTTATAAATAACTCTAAATAACATATTATAAATTAAGAAATATTATGACTTAGTTAAATAACACAGGTGCCAAAAATAATTCTTTTGTAAAATTAGAAGTCTAGTTTGATCGCTTTTACAAAGCGGTAAAAAACATTAATGTTTTAATAATTTTTTTAATGTTTTTTAATGCGTTGGTAAGAAAAATAAAATAAAAAATAAAAAAATATTATTTAAAATAAAAAAAATATTTTAAAATACAATATCTCAGTAAATGATAACCAGCTCGGCAAAGTGTGACTATCCGTCTTTTGTCCATGAAACGAGAATCTTACTTCTAAAAACAGCATCATTAGTAACTATTATTTTGTTTTCAAATAATTAGCGCATAGGATAAAGTAATTCCCCAGCGAATCATTTTCCCATGCGAACCAATCATAGCCTGGTAGGTAACAAAAACGAAAGTTCTTTAGTGGGGTACAAGTGCTTTTGGGATTAGCTTTACCTCTTTCCTCTCTTTCTCCATGTGCACATCGAACTTTACCATAATTTTTCTTAATTTATATTTTTTCATTTTTATTTATAATTATATTAAAATAATATATTTTTTATTTTTTTAAAATTATGTTTCTTATATTAAAATAATATATTTTTTATTTTTTCAAAATTATGTTTCTTATATGTTTCTTATAAAAAAAAAAACATTACACCACAATCTCAAAAATCTTAATACTTTTTTTTTTAAAATGTGATATTATGATAATTTTTATGATTGTGGTTTAAATAAAATTGTTTTGTAAAAAGTACTAGGTTAGTTTAAAATTTATATATATTTGGTTAAAAATATGGTTGAAATTAAATTAAAAAAAATTAGTTTAATGTATTTAATTAAAAAACTTTTTTTTTAAATTGAGGTTGTAATATATATACATATTGATGATTTTTATTTTAAATATTATTGATTTAACTACTGTTATTACATCATGAAATAAACAATATTGATATTAAATTTTTTTTATTGTTCCATTAAACAATTTATAATTTCATCACGTATGCAATCCATCCGACAAAGACTATAGTTTTCTTGATTTCTTAAGCGCGCAACAATATCAGGTGAAATATTATCATGAACAAAATTGAGATTACAATCAAATTATGCAAATACTACGTCATCAAGCGATTTCCTTCTAATTTTTTGAATAACACACAATTAAAAATAAAAACTGATTTTTTTAATTGGGTCGGATTTGGCAAAAACAAAATTGAGATTGCGATCAAATTTTACAAATGCTATGTCATCAAGCGATTACCTTCTAATTTTTAAAATAAAATATAATTAAAAATAAAAATAAAAATTAAATTTTTTTAACTAGAACAGATCAGGTTCAATACATTTAATTTTAGACAAAACCTAATGAGATCAAAATAATAAAGAATAACTCTACTATTCACGTGAAAAAAATGAAATTCCACTCCATTATGGATATTTAGTGGACAATGAAACTCTTCACTGAACATATTTACATGTTTATAGAAAATTGCTTTTTACAGACTTGTGTTTTTTTTTTATTAAATCTACATGGACCTCCTATACATAATAAACTGTGTTTTGGAATTACTAAATAGGTTGTTGTGCATGCATTTTACTTTAAATATAAGCATAATTTCTTAAATAAACAACCATTAAATTTGCTGAATAGCTCAATATGACATGTTAGAAAGATAATCTTACTCTCTCTTTAATTTTTTTATATGATTTTAATATTGTGTTTTAAAGAGTGTTTTGTATAATTTTAAATTAATATTTTTATATTTTGATGGTAAAATTTATTTTGAAGTATAAAAGTTAAAAATAATTTTTAAAAAATAAAAAAATATTATTTTTATATATTACTATTATAAAAAACCACGAGATATCCTCTTTAAACAACTTCTTAAACAATATAAAAAAATTTAAAAATTTAATTTAATAAAAAAATATTACACTGCAATCTCAAAAATCTTAAATTCGTTGAATAGCTAAATATAACGTGTTACAAATTGGAGTCAATCTTACTCCTATTTTTAGGTGCTTTTTTGAATTGTATTTTAAAGAGTGTTTTATAAATTTATAAATTTAATTTTTTATTTAAAATTAATTTTTTTATATTTTCATAATAAAACGTATAAAAGTTAAAAATAATTTTTAAAAAACCGCGAGGTAACATTTATTCTACCTTCCTAAGTCGGTGTTACTGAACTACCTGACAAATGGTTTTTCACTGTAAAAAGACACTTGCTTTTCATTTATGGAAGCCAGAGGGAAAAAGCAAAGAAATGGAAGATGTAGTTGCAGGGTGACTAGTCAGAGGGCTCCATTTGGGCATCGGAGTACTGGAAGGAAGCCACTACGGCATGTGAGCAGGTTTTCTTTTCTTCTTCTTTTTTTTGTTGTGGGATGCAGACAGCATCTCTCCCACTGTCCTCTCCAACATGACCTTGAAAGCTGTGCAGTTTCTCCATCGTCACTCTCCCTTTTGCACAGAGCATTGGTTGAAATTAGAGGTTTTGACAGTGAAGAGAGAAAGGACTTTCACTGATGTAACTCTCACCTCGATCAATCAAATTGGCCCCCATTTCAACCTACTTAATGGCTTTTCAAAAAAAAAAAAAAAACAGCCAGTAAGACAGTAAAATTTGCCACTCCACTACTTTACCGTCGTGTTTTTTTGCTCTATAAAAACCATGCTAATTGTAAGCAACTTAAAAGAAGAGAGAGAGAGAGAGCTCTTTCTTCTTTCTTCTTTGCTATCGTCAACTCCTTTCTGGGTGTTCACCAGCTGCCCTCAGTCTTCCACCATGGCAGTAATGCTGAGATCTCTGCTCTCTCTTTTGCTCTTCACTTCAATATTCTCCCACATTTCAGGTACTAGCTTGTGCCCTCTTTACTTCCAAGTCCTTTTTTGCCTGCTTTCTTAAGCCGAAGCAAAGATCTAGCTTTCAGAAATTTTCCTTTAATTTGTATGTGTTGTTATTTATAGTTTGGCCTAGACCATATCATATTGCCTCTAACTGCAGAATATTAGGAGCCTATATGCTCTCTTAGTTATTTCTTAAATTGTTGATTATTAACCTTCTAAATATTTTTCTTGTTGCATCATGTAGAGGTCTCATCAACAACAATAACACTACACAACAAGTGCACGCATCCAGTGTGGCCAGGTATCCAACCAAGCGCAGGAAAACCCATATTGGCCCGTGGAGGCTTCAAGCTCCCACCCAACAAGGCATACACTCTCCACATCCCACCACTCTGGTCCGGCCGTTTCTGGGGTCGCCATGGCTGCTCCTTTGATGCCTCTGGGCGTGGCCGTTGCGCCACTGGAGACTGTGGTGGCTCCCTCTACTGCAATGGCATTGGGGGCACCCCACCAGCCACACTAGCAGAAATCACCCTAGGCAAAGAACAAGATTTCTATGACGTTAGCCTTGTAGATGGCTACAATCTTGCAGTCTCTATAACCCCATTTAAAGGATCCGGGAAATGTAGCTATGCAGGGTGTGTCAGTGACTTAAACTTGATGTGTCCATTGGGGTTACAAGTCAGGTCAAAAGATAACAGGAGGGTTGTGGCTTGCAAGAGTGCTTGTTTTGCTTTCAATTCTCCTAGGTATTGCTGTACTGGTAGATTTGGTACCCCTCAAGCTTGCAAGCCGACTGCTTATTCCAGGATATTCAAGGCAGCTTGCCCTAAGGCCTACTCTTATGCTTATGATGATCCTACCAGCATTGCAACTTGCACTCGTGGGAATTATTTGGTCACTTTCTGTCATCACCGCTGATGTGTGAAGGATTTGTGTCTTCTGATCACTTCAATTAGGAGTCTGTCTCCCTTTGGCTTATCAATGTAGCTGAGGTCAAGGGCTTGCTTCCGTGTATTGTTCCAGTACATAATGAATTATGTTATATGTCTAATTAATATATGGTAGTGGTCTTGATTGAGCTGGCCGATGTTGTATATTGAGATTATGGATGCCTAATTTCTTCTCTGTTTTTTTCCTTCATTTTTACCTGCAATTGAATTTTTTTATAGCTTTAAATTAATTTTTTATTGTTTTAATATGTGATTTTAAAAATAAAAAAAATATTATTTTAATATAAAAAATTAAAAATAGTATCCACCCTGCATTCCACATGCTTTTGCTTTTATAGGGATTTAAAGTGTAATGATTTTGTGTTTATAGGTTCTGGGGTTCAGAAAGTGGGGATTGTTTTTTTAAAAAATATATATTAAAAAATATATGTTTTAATGTTTTAAAAATTATTTTTGTTAAATAATTTGAAAAAAATATAAAATAAAAAACAATTTTTTATTTTTGTTAAATAATTTGAAAAAAATAAAATAAAAAATAATTTTTTAAAAAATTACTTTTAAAATGTGAATTTAAATTAATTTTTAAGTGTTTTTGAATTATATATGCTAATATAATAATAATTTTTTTAAAATAATAAAATATTATTTTAATATATTTGAGTTCTAGCTCTGCTCTGCTTCTTAAGTGCAAATGCATAAAAAATGCAATTTGTTCTCACTTTTTTCTTCTGAATCCGATTTAGCATGATGACATGAACCGTTGAAGAACTATTTTGTTTCATTATTCGAACGTCTTCGAATTATTGCTCGGATGCAAGTGAATTAGAATGGGGAAGGCATGTGGCTTGTTTTTATTTTTTTTTATATAGATTATAAACAATACTCTAAAAGAAGCGAGGATAGTACAGTCTCTACATTTTTTATTTTTATTCTACTAATATTTGTTTCTATAATTTACTTTTAAAAAAATATTTTCTTGAAAATTATTTTTTTAATATTGAACTGATTAAAAATTTAATTTTATTATTTAAAAAAAATATTATGAATTATTATAATATTTTTCTATATGATTTTTTTTCTAAATGATCCTTTTTAAATTTTTTTTTCATATTAAGCTAGTTGAAGATTTAACTATATATTTTTTTTTATTAAAAAATATTATAGATTGTTATAATATTTTCTCCACATGATTTTTATTTTGCTATAATATTTCTTTACATGTTTTTTTCTTCAAAATTATTTGTTGAATTTATTTTTTTAATATTATGTTTATTGGGAATTTAGCTTTAGCTTTCCTCACATGTTTTTTTTATTTTTGTTTTTGTTTTTTTGTTTTTTTCCAAAATTTTCTCTTTTTTTGTGTTTTTTTCATAATTTTTTTTCTCAATTTTATTTTTTAAATATTGAGCTGATTCAGAATTTAGCTTTATGGTTTTTTCTTTAAAACACTGTTGACTGCAACAGTATTTCATCATATGATCTTTTTTTCTTTGCTTTTTTTTTTTAAAAAAATTATCTTTGTTAATTTTAATTTTTTTTTCATATTGAGCTTGTTGATAATTTACCATATGATTTTTTTTTTGCTTTTTTTTTTAAAATTATTTTTGTTAATTTTAATTTTTTTCATATTGAACTTGTTAATAATTTAACATTGTAGTTTTTTCTTGAAAAAAAACACTGTGGATTGTTACATTATTTCCTTACATGATTTTTTCTTGCTACAGTGTTTCCCAACATGTTTTTTTTATCAATTGTTTTAAAAATTATCTATGTTGAATTTATTTTTTTATATTGAATTGGTCGAAAATTTAGCTTTGTAGCTTTTTCTTTAAAACACAATTGATTGCTAAAGTGTTTCGTCACATTATTTTTTTGTTATATTTTTTTTTAAAATTATCTTTATCTATTTTATTATTTTTAATATTGAGCTGGTTAAAAATTATAATTACAGATTTTCTCATGAAACAATATAAATTACTATAGTGTTTTTCTGCATAGTTTTTTTCTTTTTATTTTTTATGATTTTTTTCAAAATTATCTTTATTGATTTTATGTTTTTAATATTGAGTTATTGAAAATTATAATTGTATATTTCTTCATAAAACACTATAAATTACTGGAGTGTTTCTCTACATGATTTGTTTTTATGATTTTTTAAAATTATTTTTTTGTTTTATTTTTATAATATTAAACTGGTTAAAAATTTAATTTTATAATTTAATTTTTCTCAAAAATATTATAAATTAGGATAATAATTTTTTATAATTTTTCTACAAATATATAATAACATATAAATATATGTCATAATCCCACAGCAGCGCAGCCACGGCAACCAGTATGATTCGACATCACGTGGGTTGCGTGCCATGTTTTTTCTTTTTTTCCTACCATATTTTTGGGGACAATCATGAAACACGAACATCATTATACGCGCTGTTTTTTTTTTTTTGTTTTTTTGTTTTGATTAACGTGAGGTGTTCAGGTTAGCTTGCGCGCATCATGACTAATCCTCACAACCCACTGAATACCCTACAAACCCAGCAGACAGGTAAGGCAGCTCGGCCCACTGATAGACTGTTATTCTTGTTACCAACATACACTTGCCAACTTGGTCTCATAAAGAAAATAAATACTCCTTCTTTTTTTTTTTTATTTTGGTAAAACTTTAATCCAGGTGTATATATTTAATGTGTTTTAAAAAGTGTAATACAATTGTTTTTTTTAATTTTTTTTAAATATATTAAAAAATAATTTTTAATATTAGCATAACAATAATAATAAAAAAATAATTTTTTAAGAAATTCTGTTCACGCGCGTTCCAAAACTGCTTCTAAAATTTGTCTGTGAAAACTGGTTCTGAAATTTGTTTTCCTTTTGAAGAATTGGTTTGCGAATTCCCCTGAAAAATAGAAAGGAAAAAGGAAAACTTTGAAGAAATGGAGAGAGAATCCAAGAGGGGTAAAGCGGTAATAGCGAAAAGAGAAACGGAGAGAACAAGAACATGAAAGAAAGGTGGTGTGTGAGAGAGAGAAGGTGGCTTTAGAGGGCAAAATAGGAAAGAGCGTCACGACAGATTTACCTAACCGGCCGTGAGGGCTGCTGGGGGTGTCGGAGTTTGAGAAGGCTAAGGAAAATGGTGGTGTTTGGAGTACGGGAGTTGAGTAGTTTTGTTTTCACATGCGTTTTAAAATTATATTTTATTTTTTAAAATATTAAATTAATAGTTTTTTTAATGTATTAATATTGAAAATTATTTTTAAATAAAAAATATTTTAAAAAACATATGTATTATGACATTAAATAAACTATTTCAGCGTGTTTAGTAACACGGCACTAGCGAAAAAGGATCAGCTACCATCAATTATTTTTTATATTAAAATATATAATAATAATATATTTTTATTTTTTAAAAAATATTTTTAACTTCAATATATTAAAATGTTTTAAAAATATTAAAAATATAATAATTTTAAATAAATAAATAAATTTAAATTTTTTTAAAATACTTTTAAAACACAAAAACAATAATTCCCCGTCGACCCCTTCTCTCTCGGTCTCTCTGTAACCAAGCCAAACAAAGCTATCTATTGTATACAGTACTCTCAACTATTTGCTGTTGTGGTTGTTAAATCACTTTCTTGTCATAAAATTCTGCAATTTCTCAGACAATGAGAACTGTTTTCCTTTGATCTTTTCACATACATAATAACCTTTGTAAAATTTCTCCTCTAGCTAAAAAGAATAAAATCTGTGACTTCCTTTTCTTCTTTTCGTTTCTTTCTAATTTGTCAATGGAAGCTCCTTCATCTTCTCCTGCTTCTAACGGAGGAGAGAATTGCTGTGTTAAAGTTGCTCTTCATATAAGACCGCTTATCGCCGATGAGCGAGCTCAAGGCTGTAAAGATTGCGTCACTGTTGTCTCTGGAAAGCCTCAGGTTCGTACAATTCCACTATTACACAATGTGCGGAAGGGTGAGTGAGTAACAAAAACTAAAAGGTGAAAAAGAAGAGGCAATCAAGGCGAGTTTCAAGTGAAAGGACGTGAATCGTTTGTTATTTTATTTCTTTTTGAGACATCTAATCTAACTGCTTTTTTTTTTTAACAACATTGTTAGAATCATAGATGGTCCCTGTATGCCTAGTGTTAGAGACCAGACGCAGTTTCAACGATGGCTCCGGTAGCAACAAGCTCATAAACGGCAAGAGATGCCACTCATGATTCTAGCTAGCTTGTGTCGACAGGAGACTAGTGTTAGAGACCAGCCAGTTTCAACGATGGCTCCGGTAGCAACAAGCTCATAAACGGCAAGAGATGCCACTCATGATTCTAGCTAGCTTGTGTCGACAGGAGACTAGTGTTAGAGACCAGCCAGTTTCAACGATGGCTCCGGTAGCAACAAGCTCATAAACAGCAAGAGATGCGACTCATGATTTATGCTAGCTAGCATGTGTCGACAGGAGCCTCCGCTGTAAGGGAGCTGGCCATCTTTATTGTCAGATGTTTCCCCTCAGGAAATAATAGGGCTATGGTGAAAGCGGGACAGAGAAGCACGAGGAACCATGCTTCACCTTCGAATACAGTGTGCTTTTTCCCTGCATACGCAGATTCTTTTCCTATCATGTCTCGTTTCTCAATGTTTCAGCCCTTTTGGGGGGGACACAATACGGCTCCTTTGTTTTTTTCCTTCTCCTTTTCTTTCATCTTTGGCCTCTACAAATTTATTGGTTAATTAAAAAAAATAGTAATTACCAAAAATCTCCAATAATTTGATTATATTTTATTTTATATTTGTTCGAAGGTTTTTGAGTCCAGAATTATTTAAAAAAAAAAAAGACCTCAGAATCTCACTGCCAACACATTCGATGCTCACCTTGTTTAGAAAATCCCTAGCAATCTCGAAGTCCATTTCTCTCACTCTTTGCGCCTAACACAATTTCTTATTCTCCCCATCATCTAGGCTGATTTGATGGCAAGGCCGCATCATAGAGTTGAACTCATAAATCACCTTCGAGGATTGCTGTAACTCTAGCTGGGAAATCTTGAGGTCGCCCTTCTGTCAGCATCCCTGCCATGGCTTCTTCCACAATCCTGATAAAGCTGTGCAGTGGGGATTTTTACATCAAGTTGATTTCCCTTAGTAGACGTCCAT